CTAAGTCTCTTTTTGAAATCTGCGATCGTTAATTATTCTTATTCTAGAAAAGGGGACAGCTAGATTGTTTCTGCTTGAACATTCCACTTTGCTTCGGACATAGATGCTGGATCAGAATGGCGACGGCTTTGAAATACTTGTTGATTCTACTGACTTTTCTCAATGCTGGAATAGCACTATCTCAGGCAAGCTTTCATTTTAGTGAGCCCCAGAAAATTACGAAATCTGCAGAAATATTCAGAACTCAAAAAATTAGAACAAATAGTCTGTCACTTCTCGCTATATGACAAGAATCGACATCTGTTAGTATACAGGGTGGTCCGCATGAAATGTGACGCACAAAAGCTTTCGTAACTTTGCTAAACTCAATGAAATTAAAAGATTCTGCCTTTATCTGATAGACAAGAAAATTCTGTATAAGTCCTCATAGACTATTTACATTAAGTCCTTCTTCAACTTTAATGACAGAATTTATTCTGCTCGGAGAGATTTTAAAATTGCGCGCGATGGTTTTTGGCAGAAATTTCATCCCAGGCTCTCACTACGTCTCCTCTTTAGCACATCTAGTGGCCTGGGTTTGGAAGAGCAGACCTTTTGCTTACAGATAGAAAAGGCGGAAAATTTCTGGGTTCAAGAATGTTCGATTCGGAAGGCCAGAATTGGGGAGACGGTCTTTTCGCACGGGCGGTCTCTAGAGTCTCCCTGATTTTGACTTGTCTTAACATGTAATGCACGCCGCAAATCTTTCCTCCCCCTGTTTTGCTTAGGCAAAAGCCGCCGCAGGGTGTATCGCGCGCGGCGGTGGTCCTGAGCGGAAAGCATTACGGTCGTGCGAATCGTCCTACACCCCCAGAATTGTCTGTTCGTAAGTGGCAAATATGAAGTTTGATGGACTGCGAAAAATACATTATTTTTTGTTCTATTTCATTCCAGGTTTCAAAATTCGTCTTCTCGATATTCTTTTGTCCCGTTGTGCTTGTTTCCGACTTCGGTTCTTACTAAAACATGGTCAAGCTTCAAGGTTTGTTAAAGGAAGTCGCCGTGGCAACAAAAATCGCAATTCTTCGAAATTTTGGAAAAAGCATTGAAAGCAAACTCTGAAGAGCTGTGGCATCTTTTTGGATTGAAGGAAATTTTACAGACGCTTTTTGGAATTTTTAGCGGGAAAGTCAGTTCAAAATTCTTATACAGAATTCTCTTCTCTATCAGATGAGGACAAAAGCTTTTGATTTCATTCAGTCCTTGCAAAGTTATAATATTTTTTTGTTGTGTCACACTTCATATGGACCACCCTGTAGTTGTATCCTCCTCACTAGATAATAGGACAATGGACAAAAAGCTAGAGCGCGGCACTTACAGCTCTCAATTCAAGCTCACCCATGCTTTTTTCCCGTTTATTCATCTTTATATGCTGTTTTTTGTTGTAATGTTCCTTATTATCAAGATCACTATAATGTTCCTTATTATCAAAATCACGATTTTCTTGTTGCTTAGCGATGTTTTATATTGCTATCGCTTGCTGTGTTCATCTCTTCGAATCTGGTTGCACGTAAGTTTGGAGGAAGGTATTTTGTGACATAAAATTTACTAGAACAACACTTCATTATAAGTGTTTCATCTCCCAGCTCACGTATAAACAGAGTTGAAGAGAGTAAAGCTTCAAGAAACACCGCTCAACAACAATTTCTAATCACAAGCATTGCTAAAGCACAAAAAAATCACAAAACGACGATAAGAAGAAATAACATCACGGCTAGGGATAAAGGTCCCAATAGTATACTATGGTGGGCCTTCCCACTAAGCCTCGGTCGAAGTTCGAAATCAGATGTTTGCTTCTGGAGCTAAATATTCACCGCGCAATTTCACCTCATATTTGGAATCATTGTCATGAGAAGCCCAGAAAACGAGAAAAATATAAAGGTGGAAAATTGGGTGGACGGTGCTTTTAGACTGATGGCCGGAGGGGATACTGGTCAGCTGTTACGATTTGCCGCGGAGCAATGCCGCGACGCGACGTCAAGCAATACGAGAGTCAGCTTCCGTCGATACACCTGGCATAATTTTACTTATGGACTCGAGTCTTATAGACTGTATCTGCCGCCATCCTCCACTTTAGCACCGGGGAGTTTTTTGTGGCAGAAAACTGTGCGCGGTGAGCGTCCGCAGCGCTGTGTGATTTTTGACCCCTAGCCGGACGGGGTGTCGCGCTTTGCCGCAGCCTGTTCTAGTCGAATTCTTGACCACCGAATGTCTAACGGGGTGAGACTACCATATGTAAAGCGCTGTAGTGCTTAAGAAGCTCGCTTAAAACTCCTACATTAACTAATCGCCAATATTGCTGTAAGGGCCGCATGCACTAACCTCCCCGCTGGGGAGGGGATCGCAGCTTAAAAGAAAGCTTTATATTACGAAACTCCAGATACCTGGATTTTACACTGTGTGCCTATACCTAAGTATTCCTACTACCCTTCACTATGAACACGTTGAACAGGAGCGAGAAGTTGTACGAACCGCATTTTCCAGCTTTTGTATGATCCCTGATGATCCCCGGTGCTTTTCTTTAAAGTCATTTTTCTTTCTCCGAAGTTAACGAAAACCCTCCAAAGTTGTACTGAACATCTAACACAACAGTGCTAAGCATGTTGCTGATGAGAACAAATGAGTTTTTGAAAAGTCGAATTTTTCGGTAAACCTTGAATTTCGACTATCGAAAATTTCATGACTTCAAAACATTGTTCTTAGCGGCAACATGCTTAGCACTGTCGGTTTAAATAATCTGCACAACTTTGGAGGTTTTTCGTTAACTTCGGAGAAAGAAAAATGACTTTAAAGAAAAGCGCTGGGGATCATCAGAGATCATACTAAAGCTGGAAAATGCGGTTCGTACTGCTTCTCGCTCCTCTTCAACATGTTCATAGTGAAGGGTATAGTAGGAATACTTACGGATAGGTACACAACGTGAAATCCAGGTATCTGGAGTTTCGAAAAGCTTTCTTTTAAGCTGCGATCCCCTCCCCGCGAGGTTAATGCATGCCTAAGACTACATAAGCTAAAACCAACTCGTCGCAATATGACTGCTGTCTACAAAACTCAAAGCTTGTAATTATCCTTGAAGGCACCGTCCAGCCAGATTCTCGACTTCCAGGTTTTTGTCGTTTCGGGGCCTTCTCATGTTTCTAGCTCCCATTATAAAATCAAGAATCCGCGAAAACCCCGACAACCCCGTTCTGGAGAACCCACAGGCCGGTTTTCGAAACGGTGATTGGATGGGCGCGCACAAATGGGCGGCCGTGGAAGGAAGGGCGGCGCGTCTGGGGGTCCTCGTTGCATCTTCGTTATTCCGAAACGATTTTCTCACTTCCGAAGCGACATTTTGCACCGCGACTTGAGCATTGGCTTGGTAGGGCCCTACTACAATATGCTGCCAAAAGCTCAAGACCCTCAGTTTAGGGTGCACGGTGCCTTTGATACGTTCACTATAGAAACGTCAACCCTATTTAGCTGAAACTTTGGACATAGTTTTCAATGTTTTGTTTTTGGCACTTTCCATTGAAAGCGGACTTAGCCATCAAACAATTTCCCGCTTCCGCGCAAACTTGCAGCAGAGTTCATTTCCATCCTGCGCTGAGCAGAGAAGACATCATGTCAGGTGAACCCACCCTAACGCACTGACGCTAGTTGCGCACGAAGTTCAGTAGAAGGAAATGGATGGGGAAGGGGGGAGTGCCGGAGAGTGGCTAGTTGGAACGCGAACAAAAAGACAATTTTGCTTTAATTTTACACGCATTCCTACCGACTGAAAATTCAACAAGATAGAGTCGAGAATGCTACCTAGTACAATCCAAGACTACTAAAGCCTCCATCTCCTTTTTTTGAGGGGAAATCGCTCTAAGCATAATGATTGCAGCATTTCCGGACACCTAAAGCATTAAGAATCTTTCTCTCAAAATCAAGTGGAAAAGAAAAATATGCCACACTTTCGCAGCATAGACTTTTGTTCCAATTGACAAGTGGCATCGACAATATCACAAGGCACACTCCAAAAGTCAGCGTTGTGCGCATTTTCTCCGTCACTGAGAAATAACGAATTTACCATAGCTTTTCCTAAAAACAACAAAAGCAAAGCAATGTAAATGTGTATGATAAAGCAAGATTACAATTGCGGAGTTACTATATGCATAAGCTTATCCAGGGCATAATAGTTAGAGAAAACATCAGAAACAATGGCTTTAGGGTAACATAGTTTTCTGGGCAAGAATCACAGCACGAAGCAACAAAGGAGATTAAACTGCTCTCTAAACGCAGCATCTTCAAATCCGGCTTCTGGGAGCTTACTCTCGGCAATGGCTCGAAACTAACTTTTGCAGTCGTTAAAGGCAGTGTCCAAGCAAAAAGTCGATTTTGAGATTTTGTGCTTACCCGGGCCTATTCGCCCTGCTGAATCCGATGAACCACATTGGAGAGCGCGAAAACGCCAGAAAAAGCCCTAAAGCAGGAGGGAAATCGCAGGTGGGCGGGGCTGTTCACACCGTGACGTCACTCTCCCAGGCTTTAGGAGCCATCTTCTCGATTCCGATTTTATGTCATGCGTTTCGCAGTTGGCTGGTGGTGATGATAGGGCGACTAGCAGAAGCGAGAAGATCGCTCCTGAAGCTGGAAGAGTGACGTCACTATGTGAACAGCCCCGCCCACCTGCAATTTCGCTCCTCCGTTAGAGCCCCTTTTAGCCGTTTTCGCGCTCTCCAGTGTTGATTTTCAGATTCAGCATGGCGAATAGATCCAGGTGAGCACAAAATCTCGAAATCGATTTTTTGCTTGGACACTGCCTTTAATGGTGAATTTTGGCCGACTTCACAGCGCATGCAGGCGGTACACACATACATGCAAGGCTACATTCGATTTTTATAGATTGTAAGATGAGCACGAAATTGATCAGTATTACATCTCATGATGTGAAAGAAATTAGCAAACACTTTATCCTTACTATTCCCATTTTTCAGTCTGAAGGGATCGAATCAGAAGGAGATGCAGTGACAGAAACAAAAAAATCAATTTACACATATCCCACGAAATGCATAGAAGACCAGTACATGAGCCCGTATCCAGGCGGATTTCCACGACCACCATATACTCTCGAAGACGAAGCTCCGAATATGGAAGTAGAACGCAAAGGCGAAATTTGCAACATCGAAGAGCTTTGCAGTGATTTGAAAGTTATAGGCAGCGAATGTAATTTTGTGGAAGAAAGTCCATATCCGGGAGGCTTCCCACGAGCACCATATGATGTTGATGCAAAAGAACAGGAAACACTGCAAAGAGATCAGTCAGTTAAGTGCATTGCTGAAGAGTGTAGTTGTGATAATTGCGAGAAGCAAAAATGTGACTCCTCAGAAGATTGTACGAAGCATACCCGTTGGAAGCAAAAGTGCGACTGCTCAGAAAACTGTGCGAGGGATACCTGCACGAAGCAAAAGAAAATATGTAGTAACCAAAGATGTATTAGTCCTCCGAAAGATAAGCACACCTGTAAGACAGGAAAGTGTGAGAGTCATTGTGACGAAACTCCTTCATATCCCGGAGGGTATCCACGACCACCCTATCAGTGTGAGGACTGTGAAGATTTCACCGCAAAAACATCCACTGAACAAACATCACCTACATGTGAGGAATGTTTAGAAGAAACTACCAGTGGAGAAACACCGCCTGGCGCTTCATCATCAGTCAGCACACCTAGTGAGACTGTCGAAACAACCGCTAGTACGGCATATGGTGTCTTGTTATCAAGTGGTCTTACTAGAAGTAATTCAAAGAGAAAGCTAATTACTAGTGAGGAAATGACATCGAAAGGCGTGAAAACATCAGGAACTGCATTAAGCGCAAGCGTTAAAATAATAGCAAACAATACGACACCGGGTACTGCCCTCTCATCAATAACAGAAATCAGCAAAACTACCGGAACAGCGGGTACCGGAGAAACTCCTAGTGCAAAAATGATTTCAGCAGTTAATGGAAGTTCTACTGGAAGTTATCCAGAGAGAATGCCATCCTTTAGCGGGCAAACACCAGGCAGTGGGGTTAGTGGAAGCGTTGGAACAAGGACACCGGGTACTGCCCTCTCATCAATAACAGAAATTAGCAAAACTACCGAAACAGCGGGTACCGGAGAAACTCCTTGTGCAACAACGATTTCCGCAGTTAATGGAAGTTCTACTGGAAGTTATCCAGAGAGAATGCCATCCGTTAGCGGGCAAACACCAGGCAGTGGGGTTAGTGGAAGCGTTGGAACAAGGACACCGGGTACTGCCCTCTCATCAATAACAGAAATCAGCAAAACTACCGGAATAGCGGGTACCGGAGAAACTCCTAGTGCAAAAACGATTTCAGCAGTTAATGGAAGTTCTACTGGAAGTTATCCAGAGAGAATGCCATCCGTTAGCGGGCAAACACCAGGCACTGGGGTTAGTGGAAGCGTTGGAACAAGGACACCGGGTACTGCCCTCTCATCAATAACAGAAATCAGCAAAACTACCGGAACAGAGGGTACCGAAGAAACTCCTAGTGCAACAACGATTTCAGCAGTTAATGGAAGTTCTACTGGAAGTTATCCAGAGAGAATGCCATCCGTTAGCGGGCAAACACCAGGCAGTGGGGTTAGTGGAAGCGTTGGAACAAGGACACCGGGTACTGCCCTCTCATCAATAACAGAAATCAGCAAAACTACCGGAATAGCGGGTACCGGAGAAACTCCTAGTGCAAAAACGATTTCAGCAGTTAATGGAAGTTCTACTGGAAGTTATCCAGAGAGAATGCCATCCGTTAGCGGGCAAACACCAGGCACTGGGGTTAGTGGAAGCGTTGGAACAAGGACACCGGGTACTGCCCTCTCATCAATAACAGAAATCAGCAAAACTACCGGAACAGAGGGTACCGAAGAAACTCCTAGTGCAACAACGATTTCCGCAGTTAAAGGAAGTTCTACTGGAAGTTATCCAGAGAGAATGCCATCCGTTAGCGGGCAAACACCAGGCAGTGGGGTTAGTGGAAGCGTTGGAACAAGGACACCGGGTACTGCCCTCTCATCAATAACAGAAATCAGCAAAACTACCGGAACAGAGGGTACCGGAGAAACTCCTAGCGCGAAAACGATTTCTGCAGTTAATGGAAGTTCTACTGGAAGTTATCCAGAGAGAATGCCATCCGTTAGCGGGCAAACACCAGGCAGTGGGGTTAGTGGAAGCGTTGGAACAAGGACACCGGGTACTGCCCTCTCATCAATAACAGAAATCAGCAAAACTAAAGGAACAGAGGGTACCGGAGAAACTCCTAGTGCAACAACGATTTCCGCAGTTAATGGAAGTTCTACTGGAAGTTATCCAGAGAGAATGCCATCCGTTAGCGGGCAAACACCAGGCAGTGGGGTTAGTGGAAGCGTTGGAACAAGGACACCGGGTACTGCCCTCTCATCAATAACAGAAATCAGCAAAACTACCGGAATAGCGGGTACCGGAGAAACTCCTAGTGCAAAAACGATTTCAGCAGTTAATGGAAGTTCTACTGGAAGTTATCCAGAGAGAATGCCATCCGTTAGCGGGCAAACACCAGGCACTGGGGTTAGTGGAAGCGTTCGAACAAGGACACCGGGTACTGCCCTCTCATCATTAACAGAAATCAGCAAAACTACCGGAACAGAGGGCACCGGAGAAACTCCTAGTGCAACAACGATTTCCGCAGTTAATGGAAGTTCTACTGGAAGTTATCCAGAGAGAATGCCATCCGTTAGCGGGCAAACACCAGGCACTGGGGTTAGTGGAAGCGTTGGAACAAGGACACCGGGTACTGCCCTCTCATCAATAACAGAAATCAGCAAAACTACCGGAACAGAGGGTACCGGAGAAACTCCTAGCGCGAAAACGATTTCTGCAGTTAATGGAAGTTCTACTGGAAGTTATCCAGAGAGAAAGCCATCCGTTAGCGGGCAAACACCAGGCAGTGGGGTTAGTGGAAGCGTTGGAACAAGGACACCGGGTACTGCCCTCTCATCAATAACAGAAATCAGCAAAACTACCGGAATAGCGGGTACCGGAGAAACTCCTAGTGCAAAAACGATTTCAGCAGTTAATGGAAGTTCTACTGGAAGTTATCCAGAGAGAATGCCATCCGTTAGCGGGCAAACACCAGGCAGTGGGGTTAGTGGAAGCGTTGGAACAAGGACACCGGGTACTGCCCTCTCATCAATAACAGAAATCAGCAAAACTACCGGAATAGCGGGTACCGGAGAAACTCCTAGTGCAAAAACGATTTCAGCAGTTAATGGAAGTTCTACTGGAAGTTATCCAGAGAGAATGCCATCCGTTAGCGGGCAAACACCAGGCACTGGGGTTAGTGGAAGCGTTGGAACAAGGACACCGGGTACTGCCCTTTCATCAATAACAGAAATCAGCAAAACTACCGGAACAGAGGGTACCGGAGAAACTCCTAGCGCGAAAACGATTTCTGCAGTTAATGGAAGTTCTACTGGAAGTTATCCAGAGAGAAAGCCATCCGTTAGCGGGCAAACACCAGGCAGTGGGGTAAGTGGAAGCGTTGGAACAAGGACACCGGGTACTGCCCTCTCATCAATAACAGAAATCAGCAAAACTACCGGAACAGAGGGCACCGGAGAAACTCCTAGTGCAACAACGATTTCCGCAGTTAATGGAAGTTCTACTGGAAGTTATCCAGAGAGAATGCCATCCGTTAGCGGGCAAACACCAGGCACTGGGGTTAGTGGAAGCGTTGGAACAAGGACACCGGGTACTGCCCTCTCATCAATAACAGAAATCAGCAAAACTACCGGAACAGAGGGTACCGGAGAAACTCCTAGCGCGAAAACGATTTCTGCAGTTAATGGAAGTTCTACTGGAAGTTATCCAGAGAGAATGCCATCCGTTAGCGGGCAAACACCAGGCACTGGGGTTAGTGGAAGCGTTCGAACAAGGACACCGGGTACTGCCCTCTCATCAATAACAGAAATCAGCAAAACTACCGGAACAGAGGGCACCGGAGAAACTCCTAGTGCAACAACGATTTCCGCAGTTAATGGAAGTTCTACTGGAAGTTATCCAGAGAGAATGCCATCCGTTAGCGGGCAAACACCAGGCACTGGGGTTAGTGGAAGCGTTGGAACAAGGACACCGGGTACTGCCCTTTCATCAATAACAGAAATCAGCAAAACTAAAGGAACAGAGGGTACCGGAGAAACTCCTAGTGCAACAACGATTTCCGCAGTTAATGGAAGTTCTACTGGAAATTATCCAGAGAGAATGCCATCCGTTAGCGGGCAAACACCAGGCACTGGGGTTAGTGGAAGCGTTCGAACAAGGACACCGGGTACTGCCCTCTCATCAATAACAGAAATCAGCAAAACTACCGGAACAGAGGGCACCGGAGAAACTCCTAGTGCAACAACGATTTCCGCAGTTAATGGAAGTTCTACTGGAAGTTATCCAGAGAGAATGCCATCCGTTAGCGGGCAAACACCAGGCACTGGGGTTAGTGGAAGCGTTGGAACAAGGACACCGCGTACTGCCCTCTCATCAATAACAGAAATCAGCAAAACTACCGGAACAGAGGGTACCGGAGAAACTCCTAGCGCGAAAACGATTTCTGCAGTTAATGGAAGTTCTACTGGAAGTTATCCAGAGAGAAAGCCATCCGTTAGCGGGCAAACACCAGGCAGTGGGGTTAGTGGAAGCGTTGGAACAAGGACACCGGGTACTGCCCTCTCATCAATAACAGAAATCAGCAAAACTACCGGAATAGCGGGTACCGGAGAAACTCCTAGTGCAAAAACGATTTCAGCAGTTAATGGAAGTTCTACTGGAAGTTATCCAGAGAGAATGCCATCCGTTAGCGGGCAAACACCAGGCAGTGGGGTTAGTGGAAGCGTTGGAACAAGGACACCGGGTACTGCCCTCTCATCAATAACAGAAATCAGCAAAACTACCGGAATAGCGGGTACCGGAGAAACTCCTAGTGCAAAAACGATTTCAGCAGTTAATGGAAGTTCTACTGGAAGTTATCCAGAGAGAATGCCATCCGTTAGCGGGCAAACACCAGGCACTGGGGTTAGTGGAAGCGTTGGAACAAGGACACAGGTTACTGCCCTTTCATCAATAACAGAAATCAGCAAAACTACCGGAACAGAGGGTACCGGAGAAACTCCTAGCGCGAAAACGATTTCTGCAGTTAATGGAAGTTCTACTGGAAGTTATCCAGAGAGAAAGCCATCCGTTAGCGGGCAAACACCAGGCAGTGGGGTAAGTGGAAGCGTTGGAACAAGGACACCGGGTACTGCCCTCTCATCAATAACAGAAATCAGCAAAACTACCGGAACAGAGGGTACCGGAGAAACTCCTAGTGCAACAACGATTTCCGCAGTTAATGGAAGTTCTATTGGAAGTTATCCAGAGAGAATGCCATCCGTTAGTGGGCAAACACCAGGCA